AGCAATATTTTACCTACATTCATTTCATTGAATTAAAAAATTTAACACCTGGGAAGTCTCCCTTTCTTTCATGGTCTTCATCATCGTGATCACCTTCAGTTTCTGGAGACTCGATGGCGTGACATTCGGCAACTCCCACGCCGAGGGGTACTGCTTCTCCCACCCGGGGTCGTACTGCATCTCCCACGGCAAGCGAATTCAACTGGAACTTCTTGGTGAGCTGCTCATCAATCGTGATGATGTGGGATGCATGAACGTGATGAAGTTCCGAAGCGTTCAGCCCAATGTTAGCAGCGTAGGTGCCGAGGATGCACTGGATGAGAAGTTTGGGATAGCGTTGAGCCATCCGTGATCGATTGTCCGTATCCCCTGGTGCACGGCCGACTATGTGCTCATGTTGATGATCTCCATGGCACGTCCGGTTGAGGCTCGTCGCAAGATCTAGAAGGTTGGTGAGGAAGCCTGATCGTTTTCTCATGGGGTTGCCTTGGCTGCTAACCAGTCCGAATTGACATTGATCCACTCTAGCTAGGTAACTGTCCGGTTGTTGCACCAATCGTTTTAGGCATGGTTCACTCCATGATGTTGCTCCCCATGGGTGTTCAAAGACATAGGTCAGCTTGAGCTCTCTGCATAGTTGACAAACTTCCACACAAAACTTGAGCAGGTTGCGAGCGCGGCGTAGTTCTCTCAAATGATCATCGAACAGCTTGGAATTGGCATGCCGCGTTCGAATGGAGAGGTGTTGCAAAGTGCTGAACATGGTGCAAGGTGGCGCTAACAACACTAGTCCCGGTCGCTCCGACTTGATGTACTGTACCACATGTTGCTGTGATTGAGTGTTCAACAAATCCCAACCCAACACAATGTCGAAAACTTGGCCACACCGCAATCCAAAATTGTCTGCTTGCTTATTGAAACACCCCGGATTGCAAATCTCCATCACCGTGCTCAATTGTTTTGCATCCATGCTGAAAAGCTCCTTATAAGTCTTGAGCTGCTGACTGCCATGGTGGGCGGCTTTCCGGATCCGAGAATAAACCTCTGCTAGTGGTGTTCCCATGGGTTCTGAGTGGTCCATGCTAAGTAATGAGTCGAGCTCATGCCAGAGTCGTTCGGTTTGCTTCAACCTGCCCACCATGTTGTGTCTTAGCCCATTTGTCAGTCTGCGCTCACTCAGCGGTGTTGGCGACGCTCCTTGCTCCCCGCTTGGAGACGCTTGAACCTCTGCCATGCCTGGAAGTCCTCCGGCTCGATCATCTCGATGGGATCTACCGGAACTGGTGGTTTCCACGACTGACATGGCGTGCCGGAAGCTGTTCCCCTTTGTTGACTCTTCCATTGAAGAAATTCCTGGTAATCGTACTCCTCCACTGGAGACGGAGTCCCTGGAGCCAGCGAGGGTGTGTAGCTCCTTGATGAGGTGGATGCTGCCTTCTGGTCCTTGGACTGATAGTGCACCTTCCCCGCTTCGGTGATCTCGTCGATGAGCACCTTGCCACACTCCTTGCAGGTCTCCTTCACCCGGAATCCGTTGCTCCCCTGTTTGGTGGTCTTCTTGTGTGGGCATTGCGACTGAAACAGTAGTCGCAGCTCCTCTAAGGTCGGATCGTCCCGGAAGTCGACTGGCGGGTTTTTCAAGTTCTTGGGAAGGTCCAACCATTGGAAGAAGCGGCATTGTTGATCTCGTCCTCGAGGGCAACGCCAGAAAAGCCGCTGGTAGTTCTTCTGTGTCATGGAGGTGTACAGCTTGGTCTTGAGCTGGCAGTGGCATTGTGGGGCTGATCGAAGATCCAGTCCCTGGGGGATCTGCCACATGTTGGCTTCCGGTCCCGTGGGGATTGCTGCGGTTACCTTGCTCCACTCGGTCGGTGTGTCGGTGTCGGTGGACTGGGACGCCTCCGTCATCGGAGATGGATATCGACCTCGTGCCTCCTGGAGGCTTCGTTCCTGCAGCTTCTCCCCCAAGTGGTTGACGATCTCGTCCAACTCCTCCACCTCTAGGAGGTCGGCGGACTGGATGATCTGTCGAGACCTCATGCCCCGTGGTCCTGGAATGCGGATCTGGGAGAGAGCTTGATGCCGAAGCGCTTGGGTGATCATAACGAAGAGACGTAGCACCATCCGGTACCACGCTCGAATCATCGAGATGCTCTCCTCTGCCTCGGTGCGGTTCCTCTTGGGGCGGCTCTGCATGTTCACTCACCGGACGGACTGAGTGGGACGACCGAGCATTCTCTGTTGAGCCAGCTGAATGCTCCGTTCGTAGTAGCTCATACTCGACATGTTTGCTGTCCTGTTTCCCTGCCAACCGCCGAATTTGATCTTCTGAAAAATCTTGTAAAAAGACTCTCAATGCACCCGTCGGACCCAAATGACATCTGGCTGAAAAACCCAGTTTCTCTGATCTCAACAGGAGTCCAAACGTGGGGTCTAAATGTAGTTGAATGCCACAATGTAGGAGGAAGGGCAAGCTGATCAAAAAGGGTGCACTACGACGTTTCATCTTCAAAAATAGCAGGTTTGAGATAGCTGCCTCGGGGGCCAAGGGAACTGGGCATAACTGCCACCCTTTCCGTGCACGACGTTTGGTGAACACTTCGAAACTGGTGTCGTTCTCGACGAAATCGAATGAATAGTTCCGGGGGCAGCATGCTTTGGTACCTCTCTAGAGCATCAAGACCAATGGCCATCCGTTGACACCCCGTATCTATTGTAGCACAACCAGCTTCAACAGATGTTTCCATAGTAAGAATCTCATGGGTGATGATCGGCGGCACGCTCATGTATACAAACTCCGCTTGAGTGTCCTTGACGGTCGGGTCGGAATGGCTAGCCGCGTCAGCATCCAGGTAGAGAAACTCGATCTCGTCGGAGGTCTCCGCCGTGATGTAGTGAATGTCTTTGGGTTTTCCGTCTCCCTTGCCCCGTCCCTTATTGGGGCATTCTCGACTCCAATGACCCACCTCCTGACATCGGTGACACTTCGTCCGACGTTTCAGTTCTTCAATTGATACTTTGTAAGTTCCTGGTCGAAGGGCTCCATCACGGCCAGCTCCAAAACCTCGAGCTAGATCACGGTTCTTCTTGGCCTTCATCGCCCCCTGAAAGGATCTGGTACGAGGGCGCTCCTTCAGCATAGTCAGAAGGACCTCTTTCGCCTCGCCCTCGCTGATCTCCGTGGTGGTCTGTCCATCGTTTTCTCCATCGGACATCTCGGCCAAGGTGGTTAGCAACATCTCCGTGTCCTCGTCCTGGATCAGGTCACCCTCCATGTCCAGAACCTCGCCCTCTTCCTGGACCGTCTCCTGATAGATGGTGTGGACCTCATTGGTGGACTTCTTCTTGTCGTTGCCGAGGGTGGTAATATCGAGGTCCGTCTCGTGGATCCGTAGCCAGGCCTTGACATCCGAGACCTGGAGGGAGCCACGAGTGTAGTTGAGCAGCAATTTGATTTGGTCGCTTGTCAACTGAAGGGCTGTTACCAGGAGAAAACCCTGATATTCTCCCGGAAGGTTAACACCCTTCTCTTTCACCCTGCGTTCTGCGTCATCCCAACGCAGCATAAAGGCCTGAGCCTTTTCCCCTTTGGCTCGGCGAAGATGAAAAGTGATGCGGCTGCATGCCGCCAGCATGGATTCCCTCTCCTCTTCTCCATAGTACTCCTTGGTGTCCATCAGGTTGATGAGGATTCGACCGTTATCGGGATTATCCAACCAACCATCGTCGGCTGCGAGGAATTTCATGTGCTCCCAAGGAGGGCCGGTTAGGCCCTTGAGCAACATAGGTCCCCTGGCGGTAGGTGGAGTTCGAGTCGTCCGCAGCCAAAGCTTTGCCTTGATCTTGTAGTCGCGGAACTCCATCTTAGCCCCATCCCATTCTGGAGGAGGACCTGCGGTGGTACGTTCGGCTTCCTCTCGTGCAGCGTGTCCCCAATGTAGTGGGTGCAGTTCTTGTTGGGCTCCAAGGCGGACAAAATCATTTCGTACCGGAGGTGTCATTTGTGCTCCGGTGGGAGGTGTCGCCGGTCCAGCTTCAAGGCCTTGTCGCGATTGCAGGAACTGCAAGTAGTCCGTGTTCACGTTCTCCTGGGCGGGCAGTCGCGTCCACGGATCGCGACGGATCCAAGGGTCACTCCCATCAGAGGACAGCGATCCAGCACCAGCCGAATGGCCTTCGGTGGCCGCGGTGCCAGTAGGCCTGCCGGCCGTGGTCTGCCAGTTGGCATCCTCAGGAGCAAAACCAGGAGGAGGAGCAGGATGATCCATGGCGCCTATCACGCGGTCCCTGGACGAAACCGGCTCCGCTACCACTGCAAACGCAGTGGTAGCTGGAACCTGGGGTTTCTGCGGTCACTTTTGACCATTGCGTGCTCGGCTTGAGCCAATGTTTATGGCGTCAGCTTTTGACCAAGGTGGTCTTCTCGAAATGCATGTATACACATGCACACAGTTCCGTGGTGTTGGGAATCGGAATGCTGCTCTATATGATCTCTATGACAGATGCAAGCTGGAAAGTTCCCTTGATTTTCAACTTGCATCGAGAAGAGTCAATGGTTGAACCTTGCTTCAGGTGTTTCCTCTCGTCAAGGACTCAGAAGATGAATTGGATCTCCCAACTCCAACTATTATGACAATTTGTCTGCCTTTTCATCCAGAATGATCAGCAAAAAAGCAGACATTTGGCATAGTTGGAAGATCCAGATGAAATGTCAGAGGGCCAACACCGATCAGCAAGAACAACTTATCCACCGGATGGTGCTCAGATAGGCTTGCTCAACAAATCCTGAATCAGCTTGAATCCCCTTATGGCATATTTGCAGCGGGGGTGAACCCAAAACCGGACTGCTGGCGGTGCCTCCACCCCCGACTGTGCGCCCCCCCAACCAGACTGTGTGTCCTCGTTTTGCCAGGCGAAGACCAAGAGCAGCCTGTCGATGTCAGGTGGGACGGATCCGGTGTTCCGCCAGCGCGGCTGAGAAAAGGGAAAAGATCTCCAGCGTGAACCGCGCTCCGCGCGGGAGTGAACACTGGACATGTGGTGCACATGAAATCTACCAGCACCCTCCTGGCCAGGCTCTTAGTTGAGGGTTGTTGGACCCTAACAGGTCTCAATTGGTGACCTGTCGGAGGGTCCTGGTAGAGAGAATCTGGGACGAGAATCGGAGCGAGGATGCAGCCTTGCGAACGGTGGGTTCTTCGGTGTTTGGGTTCCTGGCTCCCACGAACGCCCGGTCATTCCGTTGGACGCGAGCAGGGGGAACTCGCCCAAACACGCGCGCGCGCGCGCGCCTGCAGGTGATGAGCTTCAGCTCATGGCCGATCTGGGCATCTCTCTCCAGGCGAAACGGGTTCAACGTTGGCATCACGTGGCTTCGGTGTGAGGATGGTCCGAACCGAAGTGGACCATCAGAGGTTCTGAAGTTTACGGTTTTCAGAGGTGGCTATGCCATGCAAACGTCCCCCGTTCGATGCCTTATGGAGGCAGGCATCCCAGGGGGTCACCACCGACACGTTCCCCCTCACTCGGTGACTCGGTGCGCTGAATTGGTGTAGCGGAACGGACCGTTTGGAAAGGACCCAACGGACGGTGCTTCGGGGCGCTGGACTCCTCTGGACTGGTCGTTGGAAGGGTTTCGTTCAGTGTTTCTTCGAGGTGGCGGAGAGGACTATTTCCGGGTCAAAACGAGGCCAGGCATTTTTGGAGCGCCAGCTTGAGTTCCTGTCAAGCTGGAGACTGCAAGGAAGTGTGTTCTTCATACCCCAGGCCATGGAGGGCCCGGGTGGTATAGCTCGTTCCATCGGGGTTGTGGATGCGACGTGACAGGGGCACCCCCCTATCCTTCCGAACGGGCACCCCTGAGCTCAAGCTGCGACATCTCCTGGCTCTGTTGGTCCCACCGACTGGGCTGGGCCCCAAAAGCAGCTCGTTCGCGTCGTCCGCGGGGGCAACGCCCCCCAGCCCTGTGAGGAGGAGGACGACGTGTCGATGACAGGCGCGTGTTGGATGGGCGGGTGGACCCGCGAGTCGGACTTGGGGCAGCGGCAGGAGTCCTTGACAGCTCAGGTCTGAGTCTCATTTCTGTTTTCTTCGCTTAATTTGAGCTGATTTTGGTGTGGGGGCAGCGGCAGACGACGAAGAAAGGAAGCTGTGCACCCCAGACTCCAAGCTTTGCAAAGCCCCCCCGTGATGCCAGAAGAAGAGAAGCAGATGCTGAAGGACGCAGGCCTCTCCTTCACTCAGGCCAGGGCAAGAAGTGGTACACTACAGCTCGGTTGCTGCATGTCACTAGATGGATGGCAGGATGGCAGTGTTCTTTTTGTTCTTGGCACTGAGGTGTTGGTAGTGGATGGTTGATAGAACTCCCCAACAATGAGGGCAACACCTTGGCCCTTGACCACAGTGCTCTTCTTGCTTTGCGCGCGTTCCGCCCTGCCAACAGATCCCATGAGGTGCTCATGGTGGCAGCCCTGCATCACCTTGTGCTAAGATAGAGAGGATGGTCAAGACTTAGAAAGGCCAAACCCCATTTAAATCAGATGCATGTCGTTTACACCAAAGGTCTCTCTGTGTTCGGGACCTTTGGTATGACTTGTGTTAGACATGTTCTTCAAAAGGACAGAGGGGCATGATGAAGGACCCCATCCAACGCCACCACCGGCTTCGACGCCTTGACACCTGCAGGATGACGAGAGCTCCATCGGTGGGGAGACTCGTGGATCTTGGGATGATGGAACCCACTATTTACTCGCCGTAGACGCCTGAGTAACCTCTCTTTTGATAGGAAAAGACCCTATTTTGGGATGATTGGTGATCCAAAATAGAGGTCACTCAGGCGTATACGGCGTAGATACTTTCTTTATCTTTTGTCAAGTGAGGTGAAAGCACTGCTCCTTGCGGGCTTAGCCTGGAACCTGGTCTTCAAACTCTTTCGAACCCCCAATAATCCCCCACAAAACCAATGGCCATGTGCCAAAAACACGTGAAACACACCCGACGCGCCGCTTACCGGCTTCCATAAGTCGAACGCGCCGGGCGCCCGCGCGCCCGCGCTGGCCGAAGCGGAGCCCTTCCCGGCAGCGCTGAGGCGGCGAGATGAGGTTCGAGCTGTCGGAGCTGGGCATCACTCTCGAGGCGCGGAGGGTGTGCGGCGGAAAAAAACAAGAGGTTCGATGGACTCGTTGCATGGACTCGTTTGCGCACGTAAAACCTCCGATCTTTTGTATGATTTTTGTTTGGACTCATGAAGTACCCCACCTATAGGAGATCCTGAGATCCTAAGGAGTCATTGAGTCATAATCCACCACTACCAAGGCCAGGGTGATTCATGGTCATCATGACTGGACGCTTCAAGGGGGCACAAGCAGACAGGTGGACACCCGCCCCTTTGGCGTTACAGGACCATCTGGGGTGGCTCCACCCACCCGGATTTCCGAAAGCCAACGTCATCCCCAGACGGTGTGGCGTTACGACCCCAGCCCCATTCGGGACCGGACACCGATCCTTCTCGTCCGAACGCGCAGGGAGGGTCGAAGAGCAGCCTCGAACTCTCAGGCACGGCCCGAACCTCCGCGGTGGCGTCGCGGCTTCTCGTCGACCTCGACCGGTTCGGCGGTCGACCCGCTCGACCGCGGAGGAGCTGAAGTGCAGCTGCGTCACGTTGGAGGGGGTGGTCGGGTACCGTTCGTATATCGGTTGACGGCAGAGGAATCCGTCGTCACTCAGTTGGCTTCGTCCCCTTGGTCTATGCCACGGTGAAGACATCGAAGTCCTGGAGTGAAGACATCGAGCCCAAACAACTTGGTCTATAGTGGGTGAACAGGATGGGTGCGAATTCTTGAGCCGCTCACCAAGTGGAAGGTCCTATGTGGGATTCTCATCCCTTCTCATGAGAAGTCCAAGTGATGAATTGCCTGGAAGAAGCCAAAGACTATCGATCAGACTATCCAACTGTGACGCGCTGCAATGTCAGTCACAGCAACAAAATAGGGCCCCCGGGATCCAGTTCCGGGATCCACAGGTTCAGCAAGGAGAACCAAACGTTTGGAAGACACTTGAAGACACCACAAAACCCTAGCAAAACACGGACGGACTCAGACCGAACGATCGCATCCATTTCAAGTGGGCCAAAGGACCAGTTCAGCGACCCGTTTTGGGCGTCAATGCAAGCTGTCGACCCGGCGTTGCACATAAAACCACCGCCGAAGTGATCAGTCGACAGCCAGGGGGATCCGCCTAGTGCAATATATTAAGTGTGTATTCTGGTCTTTTAATAGGGAGACACCCTGGCCCTGGCTGGGTAGGCAGGTCTATTTTCCTCCTTCAAGAGAATCTGTGGGGGCTCTCCCTATTTGAGCTACACATCCATCTTCACCCACACCCACCTCTCAGTATCATCCCTGGCTCTTCCTCGCCCAACACATCCAACTTCTTCCTCTCGCGGCCGTGGTCGCATCGGTTCCCGGTGGAGCATCGCGCGGAGCAAGGTGAGGAAAATCGTCAGTTGGAAGAAGCCGGCATCCAGTTTGAGGTGTCCATCAGCCGTGCGATTCGCGTGGAGCGTCGTCTTCTTCTTTTTGTTGGGTGGTCTTTCGCGCGCGATATCGATCTCGCTGGGGGGCCAGACGCTGACGTTTTCCGTCGTGTGGTTTGAGAGGGGAGGGGGTGAACGAAGCGAAGAGCCTCGATGGGCGCTTCTGGAAGGAGGTGAGGAAATGGAACACATAAGTATTACGGGGTGATACGGAACGCTGGAGATTCCAGGGAGACCAGATTCTGAGGTTGTACATGCTCCGGACTCCTCCCCCAAAAAGTGAAACTAGGTGACTCGCAATCAGTCAACGTTCCTAACTGGAGAATTGCGTCAACGCAGCCACGCTGTTTGACACATGAGTGATCGGGAAATCGAACCAGTACATGCGTATACGAGCGTTATATTATACCCTGGGAGTCAAAGACTATAAAAAGAATGGTCTTTAGGGGACCTGAAAGGGAACTTCCTTTACTCCAGCCGGTCAAAATGTCGTCTTTGGACTTCTAGGGTATACCTTTTTGAGGTCTCCTTCTGGTGAACTCTATACCAGAACCGATCCCTTTCTCCACTTCTGCAAGGTCCTGATGTATCTCCCATAGGGCGCCGAATTTTACGGAGTTCCGTTCTTCTCATTCGCATCGATCCTTACCCGAGCGACGAATGCCGAACAACGCTGTGGGAAGGACGACGAGGAGGAGGAGGAGTATCCGACGCTTGGCCGGTGAAGTTCGTGACCGGTGGGTGTCGGAGAGGAAAGGAGAGCTTTCTTCGAGAGCAGACTCGCCTCACGCGAGCAGCACCAGGGTGTCTTCAGCTTTTGATCGTATTTGATACAAAATGAGCTCATGAGTCTATCAAGGTGTGGTCCACTCCAAGCGTTTCACCAACACCCAGAGTGCTTTACACACACTCTTGCGGGCCCACTGACCGACCTTTTGTGGACTGCTCGAAGCGACCGTTGTGTCGGAGCGTAAACGTTTCAACAGGACTAGACCACCTAAACCAAACCGCCTCACACGTCCAAAGTACTGCACGTTCGTCTACTGGGGGTCTGAACCAGGACCACGGAAAGGGTGGTTTATGGACACCCCTGACATCCACTGACTATGTATTTTCCATCCAATAACCACCCCTTCCGTGGTCCTGGAAAGGCTGTTTTGTGTATAGATTCTTGGTTTTAAGCACATGCGAGTACTCGACATTTTGCCCTCGTCACCGAGGATGCTGGAGGATGACCTGGCACGTGAAATCATCGACGTGGATGACTTGTTCGAGGCGGGGAGAGCGGCGTATTGCAGAACGACTTACACCGTCTTTTTGCAGGGAAACCAGTGCACCGTAACGGCCGAACCACTTCGGATGCATACAGATGTGGGGGGTAGGGTTTTAGGAGTGGTTAGCCAGTTAAAACAAACAGGTCACAGGGGATGTTTATTTTTGCCTTTAACAATGTTTTGGACCGCAACCTTTTGCTTCTCCCACCTCGTAGCCCCCTTTTTCAGCTTCAGAAGATGGCCCAGAACTTCCGTTTTGACGCAGACAAAACCATCTGGCCACGTGGGACTCATATTTCACCACTACCAGGCTGGGGTAAAACAAGTCAAACTTGAGGACTCTCACCAGCAGTCACAAGATGGGGTGCTATCCATGGAGGTTATATAGGGGTGCCCAATGAACACCACCCCTTTGTGACTGCTGGCAGTTTCTTCTGCCCAACACCTGTAATCCTCCGTCGGCCACTCTTCTCCAGGAAGATTCGACGCCTGGCCGTGTGGGACACGCGCGGTGCGCGGAGGGAGCGCGGAGGGAGGTGCGCGAGGTGTGTGGAGTGGAGCGGAGCACGGGAGTGGCACAGGGCCCCAGAGAGACGCCACTCTGTGCCGGGTACTGTAGCAGTTGTGTAGGGAGAGAGACTCACCTGGAAGTCTCCATGATGGTCTGTTCGTGTCGGTGGCTGCGGAGCTTGGTTTTGAAGACCTCCGTGCGGGTGAACGCCAGGGAGGTGGAAGATCCAGTTCTTCGGTGAGAAAACACCCTTACCTGGGAAGACCGGATCTCCACGTCTGACACCCAGAACTGAAGGTCGTAGGTAGCAGGAGGGACACTCTACAAAACAGCTCTTCTCAATCTGGTCAATATCCTTTGCAATCGATTTTCCCCTTTTGGAGATTCGGTCTACCTGGACCTTCAAAGGGGTGTCCTGGCTGGAGATCCCTAGGTAGTGTAGGGGCTTCCATTGGTGACCCCTTTGAAGGTGCTGGTATGGGTCTATGTCTGTAGACTTCACTTCCATGATCCCCGCGACGCGTTCCGCGGCGATCACCGCTCCGCTCCGCTCCGGCCCTCGACGCCCAGGAATCTCTTCAGCGAGGACGAGCGCGATCGGCCGGGGCGCCCGATCGTCGCACTGACCGCACCGACCGCGCAGGAGCCCATGCCATGGGTGCTAACCAGGATGGTACCCAGAGAGTCCAGGAAAATGACTCATGAACTCATATGAACTACCCCGAACTGGTAGTGGTGGATGACTACGTACCAGGTGGAGTACAAGTCATTGGAAGTTGGGTAGATTCACATCCTTCCAACCCTGCGACCGGACACTCGGGAGTGACCACCTGTGTTTCTCCAGGTACGTCGGACACCGGGTGTCCGAAGCGACTCGTCGGTGCAGGTCGAGTCGAATCTGTTCGAAGGCCGTGCCCCGGTTCGACCGGAGCTGACCCGGTTCGACCGGTTTGGCCGTGCATCGGTCCTCATGTTCCACGTGAAAGACGACCTCCGCAAGGCGAGGCACCATGCTCCAAGCATGCCAAGGCAGTTCAACAGCATGCTCCAGATTCCCTCAAGTGGTCGGTCTCACAGAATTCGAAACATATCCCCTCCCAAATAGAAACATATCACTCCACACCCCTCACTCCTTCCCATCTCCAATCCAAAGCTCCACCGCTTCCCCGTCGCTTCCGCTTCAGGTCAGTTCGGGTCGAGGCCAGAACCTCGGTGAAGGGAAGGGCCCAGTGTGTGAAGCGATCGAACGGGTGCGTTGCTTCGTGCTTTTCTTTGTCTTTAAAGGGGGGAAACGGAGGAAGATGATCTTCCAACTTTGCAACCTTTATGCCCTTTCATCATCTTTCACCATGAAAAGAGACAGCCCAAAGCCGGCATTTGGCATAGTTGGAAGATCGTATATCAATGATGTATCTTGAGACGGCCAAATCCGATCCCGGGATCTATAAGGAGATTTAGTTTACTCCATTTCCGATACCCTTTTTTTGGGTCAAACGTCGGAGTGGAACGCTTGATCCCTTCGGCAGCTGAATAGCTGCCATGACTTGGGAGCTCATCAAAAACGTAGACCGTAGAATGACACCATCACAAACTGTTGTTAAAAGCTTATGCAACACCATATAAACCACAAAAACCACATGGGTCGGGTCCCCTTTTTTGGGCACATGTACTGCCAGTTGTTGAAGTCGAGACGTGTTTTTTTTCCAAATAGCAGATAGAAGGTGATGAGCAAACCAGGAAGTCGATACACTATAGCGTTTCCTTGCAGGATAGAGTGTGTTGGAAGATGTTTTCTAAATGCATGGTTTTATTCAATGGGCTTGTTTTACTCAGCGTTCACAGTGTTTTGATTGCACAAGACCTACCGCAAGGAAGTTGGCAGGCAACCCATAGGTTGTTTCTAGAGGTTTCTATAGGCAGCCCATAGGTTCCCCTTCATCTTGGGATTGTGGGTCTCATATGTCCAACCCTCCAAGGGCTTATAGGGCCAACCCTCGGAAGCCAGCAATGGGGAAGGCCAGCAGTCTTGATTTAAGTACTGACTTTTGCAAATCGGCGTTCCATGGTGGTTTAGTATCCCACATGCAAAATGTATTAACTTCAACGGGCACCAGTACTTTCTCAAACATGAGACTCGGAACTCTAGACAGGTAACACGCTGTGTTGTTCCCCAAAAAGGTTTTACCTGTGAGGGGCTCTTACACCTTTGAATGGGTTGCATGCCCGGGCCGCATGATTTTGCATTTGTCTCGGGGCTTGCGTTCCTGCCGCATGATGTTACAGTTGTCTCCCAGTACACTTGTCTCCCACTTATCTCGCTTGTCTCCAGGTACACTCTGGCATGATTTTACACTTGTCTCCCGCTTGTCTCCGTTTTCTTCCTTTCCTTGAGTACACTGTGCTGCTCTGGCCGCGTGACTTTACACTTGTCTCCCACTTGTTCCCCTTGTCTCCAGTACACTCTGCGTGCTCTGGCCGCATGATTTTAGACTTGTCTTCCACTTGTCTCCCTTCTGTCCCAAGTGCTTTGGGCCGCATGGACTTACACTTGTCTCCCACCTTGTCTCGCAGGCCGCTCTGGGTCCTCTGGGCCGCGGGAGTTTCCTCTGCCTACTCTGGATGCACTTGGCCGGATGTTTTTACACTTGTCTCCGCTTCCCTCTTCGCCTGCTCCATGCTTCGACCCACTTGGCCAAATGATTTTTCACTTGACTTAGACACTCTTGGCCAGAGGCTCTCAGCCGGATGCACTTGTCTCCACTTGTCTTTTTGCTTGTCTCCATGCTTGGACGCCCTCGGCCGGATGATTTTACACTTGTCTTCCACTTGTCCCCCTGGTGGTCTTTCTCCTTTTGTCTCCCTTCTTGTTACACTTGTGTTCCACTTGTCCCCCTGCTTGTCTCCCTTGTTGCTTCACTTGTTCTCCCTGCTTGTCTAACCTGACAAATTCATGGTGGGTTGAAAGCTTTTAACCAAACGAAGCATGATAAAGCCACATGTCAGTGCAACTCAGCATGTTCAGTAGATTTGTGTATGTTCTGTGTTCGTCTGAATTGCCGGTTCTGACCTTGAGCCAATTGAGCCAAGTGCTGAAACAAACCCAGAAGGTCCGAGTTGATCACCGCGAGCTGGAACGTTTGAGATGTTGAGTGTTTGACAGTTCGTCTCTGTGGCTTACTTCACATCATACTAAAATACAACCGCTCCATCCACATATATATATATACACTTGTTTTTTCTCAGTGTGAATGGTCACGATTTTCCCTCTTCGGCCCGTTGGTGAAACCGCAGGTGATGGACACGAGCACTCATCCCCCCAGGCCCGTGCCCGGTGGATTCCGAGGTCATGGGGGCACAGGTGATTTTTGGATGGACTGAAAGCTATCAAAGCAGATTGTACTATCTCCAAGCATCAGGTTTCTGAAATACCTGCCAGTTCTTACTGGGTGAACTTTCAGGTTTGGTTGCATGGTCCATGGTGTGTCACTTGGCGTGGAGTTGGAGGATTGGAGCAGGAGAGGACTTCCACGATCACGATTCGCATATGAGAGTGCCATGTGACTTCACATGGAAGACATAAGAGCATCTGTTCCATTTTTTTTTGGATTTCTTCCGTCAACGGTCTGAACTGTGCAGTTCAGTGAGTGGAGAGTTGCACAGTCCCCTACCACAACAACTAACAACTGACAACTTGCGAACATGTCCAGCAACACCGAAGTGACCCCTTTTTCCTGGATCCACATGATGACCTAGAGTTTGCACCAAGAATGAGACCTTGAACTTATATCATGAACTCTTGCTAATTCATTTCTACATCCCAAGAATCAACGAGTCTCGTTGAACTTGTACCCCCTAGGCTCCCTGGCACCGGCCCTGACATCCCTTCACCACCGAGCCGGTTCGACGGACCGGACCGCTCCGCCGGGCTTTCGACCCGTTCAAAGCCGGTGGGCCTTTCGCATGGTTAGAGTGCGAAAGAAGTTCAGACCTTGAATCCTAGAAGTTCCCATGCCCCCCCCCCCCAAAATGCTGAAGAAGATGCCAGGTTCGGCCGAGTTCTGGCGGGGTGGACATGAGTGGAGCGGGGATGTCTTCCTTGAATCCTTCGCCTCCGCACGCGTGAAAAGCGTGATGCGCTTGGCTGCAGGATCAACCCCAGACGCTCCGCCGGCAATGTGGCGGTCGGGGTGGGTTTTGTGGGAAGGAAACAATCCTTTTCCTATTTCAAGTGTCTGGATGGCAGAAAGAGATCAATCATAACATTCATTCCTGGACCTTCAAAGGGGTGTCCAATGGACCGTAGGGGCTTCCATTGGTGACCCCTTTGAAGGTGCTGGTTGGTTTATATGACATTTTTCCAGCTGTTGGTTGACGCCCGCGACCTGTACTGGTCGTTGCTTCAGGATGGGCGACCTGTCGGCCCGTTGGGTCCGCTGGGGAACGACTGCTGGAAGAAGAGATACAGGGAGCGACTTAGGGAGCTCCCGAACTTGCGAACGTAGATGCAAAGTCATAGATTTGCAGGGTATTGGACGGTAGTGATGACACTGCTTCGCACTTACATTTCCATGGTATTTCCATTTTCAGTGATAGGCATCCTGGACAAAAAGGTGCAAAGCGGGTCTTTCCGCTGACCTTCGACATCCAAACAGGTCCACTTCCTAGCCCCCCATCTGGTCGACGAGTCGACGAGTCGAACCACGCCAAGGCAGAGACCTGAGCGACGTCGGGATCCACTTCGAGGCGTGGCCGACGTGGGCGGTGGAAGTGGGGAGTTCGGACCTGAGGTCCGAGACGGTTCGGTGGCTGGGCCGCTGGGGAAGGACAGGTGCGGGAGAAAGTCCTCAGCCATTGGGGTTCGGTTCATGTATTCTTTCATGATGCGGCGTTTCTTCTTTTTTTTCCCATGCAAGTTTCTTAAAAAGCGGCTTTTGCTCGTGGTCTAAAGGGAGTGCAAGTATCACGTTGCATGGACACAAGACGGAGCTGGACAACCCAGTCCCAACCAGAAACAACTGGGTGTTTCCCCAGTACCACTTGTTAGTCGAACGGATCTCATTTGCCATATTGGAACAACCTGTTTCTGGTTTGGGTTTTCCATGGAGCGACCCAGTCAGCAGCCCTATCATCCTCTGCAAATGGGTCGTTCCACGAACGCCGATGCCAGGATGACGGCACGAGCCTCGTGCTGCATTTGGGGACACGCGCGTCGACCACCGACGGGGCGATGCAGCATCGTTCCGCTTTGGCCTGACCGTGGGGCGGCGAATGGTCCGATGGAACATTCGAAGCATCCATTGCACGAAAAGAAGAGAGTTCGGACCACCTGGGGGAGTCACCTGCATGAGGGAGTCGGACAAGTCGTTCTTTCCTGCTTGAGGGTGTCTCGACTAGTCGAGCGCCAGCGGAAACCCGTGGGACCGAGGTGTCACTGGATATCATCGCATATGGCTGTGGATGTTTTTTTTGGGACCTCAAACCCCTGGTTGACCGCAGAAAATCATGAAGCAAATTGAACACATGATTCAATTGACCTATACCAATGAACAGATTCAAGCACCCCACACAGGTTCTGCCACGTCACCACTTATTGCATACACGGAAGCCACTCAACGTTGCCGCAATTGAACCCACCGACACTCGGGTCCTGGAGAGACAACCCACCAGGGCTTTTCTGTCAACCCACAAGGGCTGGTGAGGCATCTGAAGACCCAGTGCTGTCCATCTGCCAAGGAGTGAACATCAGTATGCCACTGGGCGGCACCAGTCGTCCGCGTTTCTGCGGCACCTGGCGTCCTCGGGACCTACGACGAGCGTCGTTACGATGGCTTTAGCCGGCTTTTGGACCGGAGCAAAAAAAGAAGTGGGGAGGAAGACATGGAATTCCTGGTGTTTTTTTGGGGAGGAGTCCCAGTGTAAGGAGTGCTGGGTGGTGCGGCGTTCTTGTAAAAACCAGCCCTTTTTGTTGGTCTTTGGAGACGAGAGACAAAGACGAAACGGTGAGAACACCGTAGGCATTTTGTCGCATGAGAAACAGGTGCGGCCCTTGATGTTTTGTCAAGGGTTATGAGCCCAACAGCACCTTGGTTTTAGACCGATCCCTTTTTTCCACGCCATTGATCGAGCTCGCTCTTTACCACCCGGGTCCGGTGGTCTGGATGGGGCGGCCGTGGTGGGGAATCCTTTTTGGTCGTCGAAGAAGCAAGAGGAGTTTAGGATCCGCCAGCATCGCCCGGGAACACTCCCGACACCGCCTGAAGACGAGGACCAGGAGCCGAGTCCTGCAGCGCTGGCTGCAAGTGACACCATTCGGAAGGGCCGCGGTGTGCCGGCCACCGGTGGTCGCATGTTTGTGACGCCGCCCAGTCACAGGGGCCCGGATGGTAGAGGTCAAGGGGGGCTTCGGAAGTCAGAGGGCACGCTGCCGGGGGAGGACTCCGCACCTTCGAGAACCCAACCTAAGCACTCCATGGGGCCTGTACCACCTACACATGCCCCTCAAGAGTCGGCAAAGGTGGAGCCTAGCTCACTAGCAAGTTGAAGCTGAGGGTGGTTTGCAGCGTGCATTGGAGGCCGAAATGGTCACCTTCAAGGCGCGAACAAAACGAGCAGCTGATGGACGAAGTCGTGATCAAGGTGAGCCAGCTGGACTATGACAACAGCTCCATGATGGTCCTCTTGGATTCTGGTGCAACTCATGCACTGCGGCCTGCAAGCAGTGTGGAGGAGTGGGAAGCCTCAAGTTTCTTTGGCTGATGGTGTGACCACCAAGTTGAGGCTGAAGCCAAATTCAAAGGTGCTCCTTTCGCCACTGGAGGAGGAGGAGGACAGCAAGCAGTCCTGGATCATCCCCATGGATGGTGTCACGGAGCTGGGTTACAAGTTTGGGTTGGAAAGGGGCACGGTGTTGGCTTTGTGATGATCGAGGCCGCAATGTTGAAGTGTCCATCCAACATGGCTGCCCTATGGTCTCCAAGGAAGTTGGCAAGGAGTTGATCTACAAGCTGGAAGCCCGACAGGTTCACTATGAAAGCAATGTTGGCGGATGCTTTGTTTACCGACCCTAAGTCCATGAATGTGGCCAACCTGCAGAATGACACTGAGTTGGACCTGACAGTCAAGCTGAAAGCTTTGTTTCCAGCCCTTCCAGATGAGGGTGGTTCCAACTATGAACAACCTGCAGGACGGCATCGATGGACACCTGTTGCCTTGGAACAGAGGAAAAAGGAGGAATGTGGCCAACGCCAAGCAGGTGGTCGTTCACCTTTTTCAGGCCCTGACCAACGTTTTTGGGACAAGAAACGATCAGGAGGTGGATGGTGGTCCTGGAGTTCTTCGGTCTGAACAACACCCCTATGGTCTGCCGACACTGTCGGAGGCCGAGCATGAACTGGTTGTTGGTGATAGCGTTCTGCTTTTTCGAACGCTGGCCATGTATATACTATGTGAAGATGTTCGTCTTCCTGATGAGCTTCAAACAGCGCTGGCCATCGAACAGCCAGAAGACCCAGCTCGGTATCGTTCCCCTGCTGAAGTTCAGGAGAAAAAGTTCATGTCGATCTGGCGCACCCGTGAATGGCAAGACTTCGCCAAAGCGTACCAGGTCAAGATGCTCAATTTCGATCAGGTCCAATGGGTCACACAAAACGCAAGCCCACCACCTTGGCAGTTGTGGTCAGGGACATTCAAGTGCTGAATGAAGTCCGTGGGCCCCCAAGTGGAGTCCCTCCTGATGGCCACCTATGGATCTGGCAACTGGTCATCGTAGCGTACAGGGCTTGGTTGTGAGCCTAGCAGGAGCTCCGATAGCCTGGCAGAGCTCTACCCAACCCTTTGTCACCCACAGCACAGCAGAGTCCGAACTGGTTTGCTACTGTGAAGCGCTCACGGCTGAAAGAGCTACAGAAGCTCGCTTGTGTGCTATGTGGGGGGAGGAGCTGCATGCCCAGAACTCCCTGGAGCGAGTCCCTTGGTTGGACAGAGCTTCGCTGGTTTCTTGCGTGATCTTGGCCTGAAGGCCAGTGAAGCCAAGTTGAACAAGGCCGTCTTGGGTGGACAAAATCATGACCTACCCGATCATCAAGGAGCGCTTCGTGCTTTGGTTGTGGGTGGCTTGTTGGTCAGAGCAGCTGAGGCGCAAGGTGATCAAGCCCGAAGCACCCAAGAGCCTAATTGACGCCCTGTGGATGTGTGGCATCATTTTAGTTGTCATTGGCGCGATCTGGGTGCTGAAAACAATGTGCAGTTCGCTGCATTCGTCGGCTGTGTGTGACATCAAAAGGGGAACACACAGCGGAAGAGGACGAAGTTGAAGATGAATGGGGCGCTGCGTCACTGCGTATGAGGCGACCAAGTGTGAGAAGGACGCCAACAAGGACGCTGGACTACGTGGAGGGCGAAAGTGCCTCAGAGATAGAAGGAGGCAGGTGCGGCGGAGAAGGAAGCCGTGCGAAAAGGCCCTTCTGGTCAGAAAGGGGCACACAGTGAAAGCACTATGACCCAAAGGAGCTCTATGGTGAGGACTTTGAAGTGGGCAAGGGCAAGCCGCCCAAAGTTCTATAGTGGCACCACAGACTACCTCACGAAAGTCGAGTGGTGCGAGAAGTCAAGTTCAATGGATGACCAGGCGGCTTCAAGCAGTTCAGCGATTCAGGCCGCAAATGAAGCAGCTGAAGGGGCAGAAAAGGCAGCGAAAAGTGCTATGCGTGCTGCAGATGCTGCTGACCGCAGGGCTTGGCGCGCTGCCAATGCCGCTGACCGTGCAGCTGAAAGCGCAGAAGTGGCTTCAGAGCTGCTGAAAAGGGCCACTGATGGGCCTGTTTCATCTAGCGGCCAGAAGGCCAGCACGGTTCCGACCAACCCGTGGAACCGCTTTCAATGGCTCAATGCCAACAAAGGCTGGTCAAAGGACCGCATGAGAGCCGAGCACTTAAGAGCAAGAGCTCGGGTAGCAAGATGCCTTGAGCCTAGATCTTTTGATCTTTTCCACATTGCGAGCTTATCGCGGCCCGCTATTTCTCGATCAGCCGGCCTTTGGCCAGCCGGCCGGCCGGCCGCCGGCGAAATAGCAGGCCGGGTTGCCCGGGCTGTCCTTTTCCAACCTCCATGGTTTCGCATAAGCGAAAGGGGGAGTCTCTGGAGACGAGCGATTAAAGATGAAACGGTGAGAACACTGTAGGCATTGAATTGCGCAACGATGAAACAGGTGCGGCCCTTGATGTTTTGTCAAGGTTAGTCATCTTGAGTAAAGCTGTTTCCAACAAGGCACCTTCACCCGACTTGGACCTGGCTACCTCTCCCGTTTGGCCGCCCATTCCGCCCGATTCGATGTGTTCTAGGCATAATTTGATGAAATCCATGTGGAAGCAGGAGAATCAGCAGGTAGAAGATGGTAGAAGCTGGAACACTTGAAATCCGTAAGGGTCAAAACACTGAACTTTTCTAAGCTGCACCAGTTAGAGGATTGTCGCAGCCAGTGGACGGGGGCGGGCAGGATTGTCGGCGTCGAACAATTGATCCATCCACTCTGATGCTCGTCGACGGCCGCCCCGCTTCTCAGGTAGTTTGAGAAGCCTCAGCACCATTGCTCATGAGGAATGGATGTATTATAGATTCTTCGGCCTAAGGCCAGAATTTCTGCAGCCCTTTTTCTGCCCCAAACCCAGGTCAGAACGCGCGACTTTCGGGGGCTGCTGCCCCCCGAACATCGTCGCGCGGACGCCTGGTGATCTGCTAATTACTGGTAGACCCCAAAAAGACCCAAATTTGCGCAAAGCTTCGAGCTGAATCTCAGGATCAGCCGCAGCCGCAAATCTATAGTGCATCTGCCACCCCAAACGGGGTGCCACCGCTGCGATTCGCTTCGCCGCTGCTTCTTGGGCGGCGAAAGAAGAAAGGTTCTCCGAACAAGGCTTTCGGGGCGGTTGGGACGTATGAGCCCACCTCCTCGAACTTTCATACTTGGACACCCACAAGTTCGAAGAGTGTGAAGACATGTGAAGACATGTGAATCTTCCTTAACGAGGCTTAGGTGCAAAAAAATTGGACACCATGACAGGCATTGTCGAGCAATTTCTGGATTGAGGATTGATCGACGATTCTCAAAAATTCTTAGCGCGGGGTTTGACCCGCCAAGCTGTGGGTGGCCATGATGACGACATCAGGCCTTGGATCTATGTTTTTTGTGATCTTTCAGTGGCTGCTTGGCAACCCAAGCTGCTTATCCCCATCGTTAACGGTCATCACTTGCCGTAGATGAGAGGGGTCACCAGGTTCGGGCGCAAAGCTCTTTGCTTTGCGAAAAACCTTCGTGAAGCTGCGTTCACCTTGTTGGTTCATCGTCGAATTATGGTGTTCTGCCAATCCGAACGACCCTTCGTGCTCGAAGTTTCCGCACCCGCCCTTTTGGTCGATCACAAAAACGACGGGCGGTTCGTGCGAGTGAAAAAGCACCCTTAGTGACCGCAAGCTGCGAAAGATGAGCAAAAGGTGAAGCGGCTGGGCCCTCTCGGCCGGGGCGTCTTGTCTGCGGTGGACCGACCACCGATGGGTCATTGCAGGGTGTGACCAGTATGGACTTCCAAGTGCTTGGACTTCCCGGTGGAAACGAAACGACTATTTTTTGGCCCAAGTGCTTGGATCTTGCCTTCGTCTGTTTTGCTTCGTTTTGGAACGATGGGATTTATACGGTGGTCCCCTTGCAGACGGGTGACTGGAGGAATCTCATTCGAGGAGAGAGACCAATTTCTTTCTTGAAGCCATGGCTGATTGAAGATGTGAATGCAACCAGTGTAGCTTCGGTTGCTAAGGCAGCCCAGGCTGTTGGATTGTACTGTGACCCTGAGACAAGACGATACAAATCTCAATCTGGCCATTGTGGACAATCAAAAAGGATCAAAAAGGTGGGTCACATGTTGTAGATGGTAGTACCAGGAGTCACAGAGCTAGCTCGTGTTGCCGGTTCCAAACGGAGGAAGCAAGAAGTCGGGGTGCCCCTGTCACAGTCATAGCATCCACAGCATCCACAACATCCACGGCCTCCCAACTCTACGTGACTTTTGGGACTGTCGAACTTTTGGCACCTGAGTCGCACTGCCACAGATCGGAGCTGAGACTTCGGGACGACCTCCCCCCTCACGGGGGTCTCCCGACCGCTTCCCCCCCGCTCGCGTCGGAGACCGGCGAGTTTCTGGAAGGCCTTCAGGAGTCAGGGACGGCATGAATCCATCGAAGGCAAACATTGGGTTCTCTCAGATCCTTTAGTGAGAGTGCTTAGATGGCGCAGACCCCAGTTTGGTGGTTTACTGTTTTACATGGTTCAAAGAACCTCTGGGAAGCAAACCACTGGGAAGGGTATACAGGTGAAGAACGTGGCATGGAATGATCGGTCTGGCGCGCGCTGCGGACTGCTTCTCTTTGCTCAAGGGAAGGTAGAACCTGATTGGGCCAGTTGCTGTGCTGCACACTCAGCGAAACGGTCATTCTTCCGGAACTGCCCTGCTCGATGGGGTTCACCCCTGTTCTACCCTCCCCATATCCACTTGGTCTTCAGACTTCAGCTGTGCAAACATCGAGTCTCAACCGCCCAACCTCACGTGACTCGCGCCGGTGCTGGTCGCTCGCCAGGTCAACCATCGCAATCTCGTTCGTTCGCCCTTTTTTGGCCGAAGAGGAGCGGGGACGACGCGGGGCGCTTGGGGGGCTTCCGTCGAAGAAACCATGAGAAGTCACTTTTGGTCACGAGGAACTGTAGACGGATCTGTGACTACAGGATCCGCGCTGCGCTTTTGTTCGAGGATTTGTTTGCACGTCTCAGTCAGGTTTGTGAGACAGACACTGAGGTACATGGTTTCTTCACGTTTCATTCCTTGTAGGTTGGCTTGGGGGTTGCTTTCGAGGCCACCAGCAAACCAAACCGTGATTGTTGGTGTGTAACCATGGCAGCTGTATTTTTGTGTAATGTTTAATAGATTTTGTGGGACAAAGAAAAGCACGTCGTCTTGTGTGTCCTTTCCGAGAGGACATGGAAGTCAATCTGCCAGTGCCCGAGAGTGCCCGGTGCAGATCATGGGCCGGAACACCGAAAATGAATCACATGGTCGACGATCATGCTTGAACGGCACACCAGGGCCTTATATATATATATTATTTATATTCCTTTTTTTTGGCCATGGCGGTTGCACCAAAAAGGGCCGCCCCACCTGCTTCGAAACCCCACGACACGACGAAACCGATCGATCGATCGATCGAAAGCACGTCCGTGGTGCCGAGGCTCTCGAAGACCGGCATTGCGGACGATGCTGCTGGGGAGCCCGGTGGAGCTGGTGCTGGTTGGTGTGGTTGGGGCGTTCCGGTCGGATGAGCGAGAACAAACGAGGAGGGGCAGGATGGATGCTTCAAACAAAAAAAAGGTGAGTGAGTTCATCCAGTTGATGATGTTGATGTTGAGAGAAGGGACCCTTGGGACAGTCCTTGGGACTTGGGATGAGTTCACTGTCTATAGCCTGGATCGAATTGATCGAGTGGAGCATTGCTCATGACTGTGGACGCTTGTGAATCTAACGAACTAACAAGGTAACCCACTGGAAGTTCAAAGAAACACTGTGATGCAAGAACTTTCTGTTGAACTTCTTCCGGATGGCGGGACTTCGTCCAGTCCCACCGAACTGGACTTCTGAGGTTCTGTCCATCCGTGCTGGCAGCGTGCGCAGGCGCTGCTCCGAACACGGACCGCTGTTGTAGACGGTTGCTGGATATTGATCGAACATCACCGCAATTCTGAGACGAACTGATTGTAGCAAATGAAACACATCTATGTTCGGGCGCATGAATTGTTCGATGAAAGGATTCCCAGCTGCTTGAAACATCTTCAGCAAATCCTGTTGCAAATTGTAGCTTTGTAGGGTTGGAGGCCATCGCTCTTAGGATTCCCATCGTTTCCCGTTCCGTTCCGCCCTGGGGGCTGGCACCCTCGTCCGTCTCTTGAGGCAAGCTCAGATCAACAGTGGACGACCGTGGGGGCACCTAACGTTCTTTCAGAGTGCCAACAGTGGACGACCCTGTTGGGTGAAAGAAAGATCAGGAACTGCTTGGGTTGACTAGCGTTGACTCATCCTCATATGTTTTCATCCTTTTTCTCATCCTCTCTGCAAGTTTCTTCTTTTTAGCACATGCGATTGCAGTTTGTTTCATTGAGATCAGCCCAAAGCACGGCTAAGGCTGCTTTGCAACATGAAGAGGGTCACAATAAGGGAACAACTTGTTGGACACGTTTGAGGTTAGCAAGAATCAAGCATCTCTTTGTAACAGCTGGTGCCAAACTTAAAACTGAGGAACTGAACATTCCGAGTGGTATGAACTCTGTGTACCAAACTCGAGTTTAAACACAGAGGATTCTGACGGATTCTGGAACTCTCTGCTCAAAGCAGAACTGCTTGCCCAAATCCAACCACCATGGTGGGACGTCACGGTGCACCCGCAGAAGCGACGGTTTGTGGAGGTTTCGATTCGCGAAGGGAATCATGGAGGACCCGTGCTTTGGCAGTCGGACGGCATCTCTGGGGATGAGCTCTGAAAAACAGACCGACCGGCCTCTCAAAGGTGTTAAATGTGTATTCTTTTGGACGTATATTTCTCGAGAGACTTTCGATGGAGTTGACCTTTCGATGAAAATCATTTGATCCGTCGATGCCTCGAGCTTGGCCGTCGATGTTTGTTGGTCGAATTCGTGTCTTCTGCTTCGCAAAGGGCTTCATATCGCCTGAGAGTCCAGGAAAATGACCCATGAACTACCCCCAACTGGTGGATGGATGGACTTCCCATGGGTCAAATGACTCCAAACCACACCCTTCCCACGGACCGTCGGTCCCAGGTCTCGGTCCGTGTCCGTGTCCGGAACCGGCGAATCCAGGAGAATCCGCTGAAGATCGACATTCTGAAGCAGGTCGGGTGGCTTTTCCCCCTTCGTGTTCGCGTCGCGTCGCCCGGAAAGCGACGGTTGGGCCGGAGCGTCGGAGGTTGGGGAGGGAGGGAAACGGAGCTGGTCACCGGTGGGGGCAATGTGGAAGGTCGGAGCTTTTGGAGGATTGTCGCTCAGCCCCCTTCTTGGAAGGTTTGGGATCTTGGGACTTGTTCTTGGGAAGGATTGAAGGCGGGAAGACGTGTCAGAAACACATTTTGATCCACCGGAAAATGGGCGTTGGAGGACGCTACGAACGGAACAAAGGGCATCGCTACGAACGGAGCAAGGAAGCTACTAGGGGCTCCTGGCCATACTACTAGGAACAAGTACGCTACGAACGGAACAAGGAAAGTTGCGGTGACGCTGGCGGAGTTGCTGTTGCGACTGGCAGAGTGAATGTGCTTGGCAGAGTTAGAAGGGCCACGCTTTGCTTTGTCACTGCTTAGTTCCAGAAATTAAATGCAAAAAGAAGACTCTTCGTTCGATGGTGGACTGCCTTTCGTCTCGTCTCCGGCCTTTGTTTGCTGCGCTGAGCTTCTCTGCAGGTCGGAAGTGCGTACCTCGTGATGAAACCGGGTGCTGCTTGGCGGAGAGAGGATGGAGAGGGGTGGAGAGGGGTTGGGGCTTGGAAGGGGATGGGGAAAGGATTTATAGATTGTATGGGCTTCAGCTGGGGGGTCAAAGAAGGTGTCAGAAGGAGTTGATGATGTGTGAGCGAGTGCTATGTTTGGGGGAAAACATGCATAGCTGCGGCAGGGTTCAATGCTTCGGCTGTCTCCGCCGCGGACGGCGCCATTCCCCCGAACTCAGGCCGCATGCGGCCGCATGCGTCTCCCAGGTGTCTCCGACCAGCAGGTTGCGGTGTCTCCCAATAAGTCGACTATCTGAGAGACCCGAGAGGAAGGTCCAGGCCAGTGTTTCATGGTGTGGAAAAAGATGCCACGTCCAACACCAGGGCCTGGTCGAGCGCCACACCTGCTTCGTCACGGGGACCCGCCGAGGAAGACAAGTACAAAGTGATTTTCGGTGGC